CACGCAGGCCGGCAGGACGCCAGGGAGCCTGGGACCCGTGGGGAGGACCTCAGGACACCGTGGGGGCTCCTGGGCCTCTGGAGAACACCGGACACTTGAACTCCAAGTTTTAGAACATTTGCGTACTAGGAGGAGCGCTGGGATTGGAGTCCAAGGAGCTGGGTTCTAGTCCAGCCTAGTCCGCTCTGAGCACCAGCCGCTCACTGCTGGGAACGTGCCGCCCGGATCTTTCACTACATCCCCGCTCACCCAGGGAGGAGTCCCACGGTCACCCAGGCAGTGGAGCAGGGCTCTGAGGTCACCCTGACTGCTGTCCCCACCTCTTCATGGGGGCACCATCATCACCCCTGATGAGGCAGCTGTCAGGCAGAGAGAGGGACACCTTGGCCCAGGTCACTAATGGGGCCAGAAACTGGGACAGAAAGCTGCTGGGCTTGTCACTTCCTGCCCGTCCCCGAGCCCCACTAGCGCTGGCCCCTAGGACAGCAGGTACAAGGACGCCCTTGGCACCTATAGCAGGTACAGTGAGGCCAAGCCCAGGGCACGTGGTGTCTGCACCGAGCCAGCCTAGAGCAGCCTCGGAGGCCCATGGGGCTGACTGCAGAGACCGGATGCCCTAGCCCCGGCAGGAGTTGGCAGATGCCTCTGCCAGGACTCTCTGCCCCGCTCCCTCGGCTCCCTGGGGCAGGGGTCCAGGCTCCTCCCTGGTATCCCATGACCTCCACGTTTCCCCTCTGCCTGGTAAGGCCCTGGGGTTTGCACCCAGCTTCACTGGGTTGGGATAAATCCCACCAACCCAAGAGCAGCAGGCATATCGGCAGGAAATAGCAGGGCTTCAGCCTAGTTCTCAGAGCCAGCAGGACGGAGGGCAGGGATGCAGGAGGCGCCAGGGAGAGTGGGCCTCCGTTTCCTTCCCACCCCTGGCTGGTGAGGCTTAGTCAGGCTGGTGGCGCCCATCTGCCCTGCAGCGGGAGCCGTGGAGTTACCTGGAGCTGGGTCTCTCAGGCCGCAGCAGGTACAGCTGGCATCCCCAGTGCGGGGGCCCAAGAGGCACAGCTGCAGCTGGGCAGGTGGAGAGGCTGTGGGGGTGGAGAGGGGGACATCAAGCCAGCCCTGTAGCCCCTCCGAACCCCGGAGAGCTCCCCGCCCTGTCATTCAAGGGGCTTGCAGGGATTGGCCATTGCAGCTCTGCACCAGCCACGGACCACGACACCTTCAACTCCAGATTGTCCCCAGGGAGTGCTTCTCTCCTGCTTTGTCCCTCTCAAGTGGCCGCTAGGGCCTCGTTTAGGAAGGACAAGCCTTTCCTGTCCCTGAGGACATCCTCAGGCTGCAGAGAGAGCAGGGCGTGGAGCCAAGCGGCAGCCGTGCTGGCCCAGCTCGAGGGGCCGTGACACCCCGTGATGGACAGTGCTCACCGCCAAGCTGTGCTGCGTGCTGGCCTCTGGGCTCGCTGAAGTGGTCACGGGGTGCAGTGGTGTCAGCCCCACCCTGCACACCCCTGGAAGGAAGGTCAGGGGCCACCACACCGAGCCCTGAACGGCGGTGGGGGGAACAGGGGTCCAGGGTCATCCACAGAAGCATTTATTAGCTGTCTGACCATGGTGGTTTGTCCTGCTTCTCTGACTCCCCATTTCCCATCAGAAAAATGGGGACACTAAGACCCTGACTACACAGGGCTGTTATGGGGATTCACACACAGCACATCCACGCAGTGGACACAAACGTGTGGCCTGTTAAGGACGGCACTCGGTAAAGGACGGCTCAGCACTGTCACACCAGGTGACCTATGGTGACTTTGATGTCACAGGAAAAGCTTTTGTGACACCCCCAGCCCCAAACTGGAGCCCTTGGGGCCACACCAGAGCTTTGGCTCTGCTATGGCGATGATCACCCCTCAGCTGTCCCTACAGGCTTGGAGTCCGGCCGGAGGATGGCCACTTGGGCGTCCCCCTCGCACCTGGGACTGTGCCCCGCAGTCTCAGGAAGGGCCTCCTGGGGCTGAGTTAGGCAGGAAGGGACAGAAGGGTGCGTCCCCAGTGCCCTCGGCTTCTTGCCCTGTCCTGGCAGGCGGGGCTCTGCACAAGTGAGGGCTTCACCTGTAGACCATTCCCGAGATGCATACCATAGCTTAACGGGCATAGTTTCTCTTTTTTGTCTTTCTTTTTGTTTTCAAAAGCAGAATATTATAGCTTCATAAAAAATACCTGAGGCTTTTTGCTCGGTAACCACTTTTATGTTTCATCAGGGTGAGACAGAAGTGGCTGGCAGATGAAGCATTAGGAGCCTGCTCCGTGGGGCCCTGTGGCAGCCCTGTCCGCCCCGGAGACACGGCATTCATTCCACAGGGCGCCCCAAAATGAGGGGCGCGGGCTGGAGCGCAGGAGGCATTGCCGTTGGCTGGCACCATCCCAAGGGGGACATTTGACCGCGTGGCTCAGGAACGGTCCCGGGACCCAGGGGCTATGCTCAGAAGGCACATGTGGAAGGAAGACTTCGAGGAAGCCAGCTCAGCGTGCAGACCCTTGCCAGAGTGTCCTTGTGCCCCTCAGGTCCCCATGGGGTTGGGGTCTGCGTGCGGCACGGGAGGGGCAGGGCCCTGCGCATTTGGGGCAGATCCTGACATAGAGCCTTTGGCACGAAAGCAGCTTCTGGCCCTAAACCTCCATGCCTCATATAGGTGGTACCCGCAGCCAGGCAGTGCGGTGAGTCCAGAGGAGACAGGTCGGGCCAGGGGACCAGGCGGGCTTCCTGGAGGAGCGGGTAGCTCCAATGCTGAAGGATCCAAGGCTGAAGGATGGGAGAAACAGACGGGACATTCTTCCACGGCCTCTGACACACACCAGGCGGGCCATGCGCCCAGTGACTTGGGGGCTGACAAGGCTGCTCGGGTGCCCAGGAGGGTCTGGGAAGAAGCCCTGGGGTCAAGCATCCCAGGCTCCAGTACCAGCCAGGTGGCTTGGAGGAGAGTGTGGGGAGAGGCCTGGAATTCGCCCTCTCTGCTTCAGGCCCAAAGACAGCAAGAAGAAGCCTGCTCAGAGCACACAGGTATAAAGCTGCTCTAAGAAGTGGTGGTGCATTTCCATAAGTGGTGGTGCGTTTCCATACTCAAGAGGCTGAGGCAGGAGGGTCCCTTGAACCTAGGAGTTCAGGGCCACCTGGGAAACATAACAAGACCCCATCTCTAAAAGCCAAAACCAACAAAGGCGCTGTGCTCTTGTCCCGATGTGTGAGCACCGTGACAACAGCCACTGTCGGCGTCCCAAGAGTCACTGTGGGCCTTGGCTCTTGTGTACTTTGCAGGCCTGGGAAGGCCAGGCCTATGTTATGGTCACCGTGTGAAATGCCGCTGGAGCACTTAGGGCCCATGCTGATTCAGCTCTGAGCGCTTACAGGAGGACACTGGCCCCACACCAAGACGCCACCCACCCGTCAGGCCTTCAGCAAGCTGTTAACCAGGGAGCAGGCCAGGACCCGGAGGAAGATAGAGCGGCTGCAGGAAGAGGCAGGCGGAGCAGGGGAGAGGCGAGGAGGTTGTGATTCAGGGAGAAGAGGCCGTGGCAAGAGAGACCGGGGCCACGCAGAGGACCCGGCTGTCCCCCAGGTTACAGTCCAGGGGTCACAGAGCCTGAGCGCGTGTCCGGAGCCCTCTGGACAGCTCTTCCTCGGGGAGGGGAGCAGCACACTGCGCGTGGCAAAGCCCTTCCGCGGCTGGGGAAGGGGCGGGTCTTGGGAAGACAGGATGGATGGGGGCATCAGGCAGGTAATTCTCCAGCTGCCTCTGGTTCCAGCTTTATTCTAACTAGCACTTTCCACATCTTTCTCCATTTAATGTCCCTTGAATAACGTGATGAGGAGAGAAGGTAGACACCAGGAATTTACGGTGCTATGCAAAAAAATTGCTCCATTCCATTAAGATTTCAGGACCCTTGCCAAGGCTGCATGGCAGAGCGGGTAGTATTTCCTCCTTGACGTCTTTGCTCGATTGCAATTTACGAGGCCAAGGCCACCGCGATACCCACCTAAAGCCTCCGGAAAATACGGCAGGCCCCCAAAAGCGGCTGTTATTCTCTGGGCATTTTCAGGAAGCTTCCCTCACCCCACTCACTTGCACCCCTTCCTTTAGGGGTACGGGCCAGGGGGTGTCATGTGGGCTTTTACAGCAGGTCCCCTTGCAGTGGGGCAACTCAGGTGTTCCCCGCCCGGCCTTCTGCTTGCGGATTCCCTCTGGCGCGGTGGACCCTCTACTCCCACCTGGTGGACAAGGCAGGTACTGAGCTCAGGAGAGAGGGTCCAGGGCCACTCCTCCAGGCACCCTGCTTGGGACCAGCGCTGCTGTTTGAATTCAGCTCTGCCTTTGCCAGCTGCAGGACTCGGATGAATGAATTCACCTCTGTGGATTTTATTTCTCCTTTGGCGAAATAGGCATCAAATACCTCCCTCCCTCTCGAGGTCACTGAGAGGATGAGCTGAGCTCAGACACACAAAGGTCTTAGCGGCATGCTCGGCAGGCTGTTGGATATCATCATTAGGACTGTCACCAGTAGCTTTTATTCTGGGGGCTTCAGTGGTGGGTGTGGCAGTTGGGGAGGAGTATGTCGGATGCGACTGTGATCACAGGCTCCTCAGTTTGCTCACAGGTCTTAAGCAGGAATCTGATGTATGGCATTTTATCTCCTGTGTCCCCACACGCAGGGGCTCCTCTGCTCCCTGCCCAGCTGCACAGGACAACAGTATACCTGGCCTGCCTTGCAAACCCTCCTCTGTCCTTCAGCCCGGAGAGGGCTGGGCTCCCCATGCTAGACCGGAAGACAGAGGAAAAATGAGGCGGTGGGGCTGCGGCTCCTTAGAGATGGGAATTATTAATTAGTCTTATTATCCAGAACTTGTCAGTGTCTTAATCCTTTGGTCTGCAGAGAGGTTTATACCTCCATGGTGTGTACTGTCAGCTTGGCTAAGCAATTGCTTTTAATATAAAAGCAGAACAATAGGCCATAGAGTTTGGTTACTATCTTTATTTATCAAGCCAAACAATTCCTGGTTCCCTTTCCAGAATATCCTTCAAAGATGAGGAGAATGCCAGAGCTGCTTAATTTCCCTTTTAGATGGCTTATAATATGGGGCTTTTGTTTAATTATCCTTTTCATGTAATCTTCAGCTGACATTCTGTCCTTAATATCCTAATCTTCTTTGGAGCAAAGGGGAAACTGTACTTTCCCCAGCAAAAGACAAAAGTTTGCCTCAAGGAACCGCTTTCTATTTTGCCTCTGAAGGAACTCAAAGGGCCAGGAATGAAATTCAGATGTAATTTGATAGAGTGAAAGAGAACATGGGAATCTCTAGTGGTATGCTGGGCATGTAGACGTCTGGAGCTCATTCAGGCCTCAGCTGCAGGCCACCTGTGACGCTGGTCCCCTTGGGCTGTGAGATCCAGGCTAGGCAAGGCGGTACCGCAGTGTGGTGTCACTCCTGCTTCACCACTGGTAATGTTTCTGTGGGTCCTGAGATGCAGGCATCCCTAGATGAGGCACACGCCAGGCATTCCAGGCTCGTGGTGAATGGTTTCAGCTCCACAGGTATACACAGGTATCTATAGGTACACAAAGGTATATAAAGGTATCCATATGTGTATGCAGGTATGCACAGGTATATACAGGTGCACACAGGTATACACAGGTATACATAGGCATGCACACATGCACAAAGATAGCTACAAGTATGCACAGGTATGCACAGGTAGGTATAGGTGTGCTCAGCTGTGCGTAGGCATACACAGGTGTCACTGCTCCTCATACCTCCTCTCTCTGTTCTGTTCTCTCAGAGCCAGGATCTGGGGGGCCTGAAGGACCCTTCACCTCCAAAAAAGCCAAGACATCTGGGGTCCTCTCAGTGCTGGAGTCCCCTGAGTGGTGGGCATAATGGCAGGGCTGCCCTTTCTTCTACCTGGACACTGAGGGGAGGCAGCCTGGAGCCCAGCTTGCCCTGCCCAGGCCCCCTGGCCTGGGTGTAAAATACACAGATGTTTCAGGAGCGCCCTGCCCTCGCAGGCCCTGGTTGACCTCCCCGGGCTCCCTGCCATCTCTTTGACCACACCCAAAGGTCCTCATGCCATCCTCAGCTTCAGAACCCCCAGGAGCATTCCCGAGGCTGGCCATCATCCCCTCCCTCGGGAACGCGTTCTGCTCCCACGCCCTCTCTGGCCATCTCGCCCAGCCTGTTCTCTGCAGCCCCCTTTGAATAGCTTCCCCCAGCTGGACTCTCCCTGTGCTTGCTCAGCTTCTCTGTCCACGTGTTTCCTGGGATGGGGTCGTCTCACCCCATGCTGGGCTCCCGTGTCGGCTTGAGGCTGATGACTCCTGCATTCCACTCTGTGCCCGACCTTGTCACTCAGAACTAGAATCCACACCCAGCCGCCGACTCCGTTCCTATCCTGCAGGCGGTATCTGCGTCTGAGATGTCTCAGCTCCACAGTGAGCCTGCCGCTCCACACCCATCTTCCCCTGGCAGGGCACAGATCGCCCTCCACCGGCCTCCACCCCCCCTTCTCCCGCCTCGGTTTCCCTTGCCACCCCCACGCAGCCCTGCCAAAATACGTCCTGCACTCAGATCCTCTTCTCACTCGCTTCTGCTGCCCCAGTGCGAACTCTGGCTCTCCCGCACCAGCCCAGCACCCCTTCTTCTCTGTTCGGGGTCCATTCTGCTCACCGCAGCCAGGGCAGCCGCCTAGACCCCGAATCAGATCACAGCAACCTCATGCTTCAGTTCAGTGAGTCCCGGGCACTTCTAGTACCATCCACAGCCAACCATGACCTCAGGAGTCCACACCCCCGACCTTCATTTCTGGGCCTTCTGCACGCTTGGCATGCTGGCTCCTTCCTGCTCCTCAGTGGCTCAGGGCCTTTCAGGTGCTCCTCCTCCTGCCTGGAGCCTGACCCACACCTGCTACACTTGGCAAAGGTAGTGGGTCTCAGCTCAGCGGTCAGCTCCTCCTCAGAGCCCCCTGGTGTGCTATCCAACCTCCTCTCACTCTGCTTCCTGTGATGAAATGTTGAGAGTGGCCAGGACGCGGAGAGAATCCCACGCCCCCCACGCCCACACACCTGCCACCTGGACTCCAGCACCATCGTCTGACATGCGACTGGTTTCCTGTCTCATGTGTCCGTCCTTCCAGCAGGGCGTCTTGTTCTTGTTTCATGCCCATCAAAGCAAGCTGCAGACCCAGCCGCTTCCCCCACCAAGTACTCCGGCGCGTGTGTAGTAACCCAAGTTTCCGGCATACCGCTCTTCTTTTGCACTTGAAGTTTAAACGCAGTGAAACGTTTGCGTGTGCACATGTTATGCATGCCAGTTGGTGGGGTTTCTAGGTGTTTTATTGTTTTGTTTTGCTTTGTTTTGTTTGGGGGGTGGTACTGGAGATTGAACACAGCACCTACATCCCCAGTCCCTTCTATTTTTTATTTTAAGACAGGTTCTCACTAAGTCAGTAAATTGCCTGCGCTAGGCTTAAGCTGTAATCCTCCTGCTTCAGTCTTCCAGACTGCTGGGATGACAGTCGTGCACACACATGACCAGCCGGCGAGTTTTAATCAGTGCACACACACACACGTCACAGCCCAAACCCACATCAAGATCTGGAGCATGACTGCCCCCCCAAGGCAGCCTCTTCCTGCCCCTCCCGGCACCGCCCACCTCCCGTAGTCACCACTTCTGAGGCCTCCTCCTGTCCTAGAGCTTCACAGGAGTGGAGTCATGCCGTGCATACTCCTGGGCCGGGCTTCCTTCACTCAGCGTGATCCTTGCCATCCACTGATACTGTGAGAATCTCACCGTGTCACTCGTGTGTCCTCTATCTGTGAGGCCCGGCCCACTCCCCCAAGCCAGCTCCCTGGGGCGGGGGTATTCACTGGGGCCTCTCCACCGCCCAGAATGGAGCCCAGCACACAGCTACAGATGTGCAGACAGCTGTAACCCACCCAGAAGACAGGCTTAGAGGGATGCTCCTGTTTCCACAGCCTCGACTGAGCCCACAAGTATCAGAAGCAGAAGGTGGCAAGGAGCTCTTCCTTCCAGCTGTGGATTCCCCTCCCCCCACCC